CCAGGCAGCCATCCCAATTAGAGACATCGGCGGAACTAGCTGCACATCGCTGCATTCCGGATGTTAATGAGGCGCCCCGCTTCGCAGGCACCCAATAAACTCTAACTGGAGGAACTCGGGCCGGCGGCCGCAGACACCTGCGACCGAGAGTCCTCGCAAGGGCGGAGCGCAGCGGGATTCACCTCGGACAGGCCCAGGGCCCGGGTCCCGGTCCGAGGAGCCCGGCCCAACGGCTGCAGGACCTGCCCCCACCCCAGGTCCCGCCGAACGACCCAACGGCTGCGGGACCCGCCCCGCCCGCCAAGTCCCACCGATCCCGGCCGCTGCCTTTGCTAGCTAGGGGCCCCTCCTAGCTCCCGCCTCCCGCCTCCCGCCTCCCGCCCCTAAGCCTAGTCAGACCCCGCCCAGCCCCAGGCCAAGGCCAGTCGCCACAGGAATAGGCTGGGTAGTTCCCGCCATTAGCGTCGATCTCAGCCAGGCCCCGCCTGTTCCGGGAGTGGATGACTCGGATCACCTAGAGGCCCAACCCGGGACGTCCTATGCTTGGATCTCAATAGCCGATCCCCCAGGCGGTGACAGCACCTAGGCCCCGCCCCCTACGCCAAGGCCCCGCCTCTTCACTTCAGGCGTGGGTTCCAGTAGAGGCCCCCTCAGGCATCGATCACCGCCGAGCCTCGCCCCTCAGCGCTAGGCCCCGCCCCGCCCCCAGCCCCTACAGCCCAGACGTGGGTCTCCTCAGGTGCCCATCACCTCCAGGCCCCGCCCCATGGAAGCCGCAGTCCCAGGAAGGCTCCGCCCCGGCGCCCAGGTCCCGCCCTCGGTGCGCGCTGCGTTCAGCAGCGGGTGGGACGCGGCGGCTACGGCGCTGGTCTCCTTTGTGCTCGGGCGCCGACGGCCTCGCGGTCCTTCAAGTCCTCTCGCCTGTCAGCCGCGCGCTTTCTAGAGACGGACCATGTCGGCGGGAGCGGGCGCAGGCGTGGAGGCAGGCTTCTCCAGCGAGGAGCTGCTGTCGCTCCGCTTCCCGCTGCACCGCGCTTGCCGCGACGGGGACCTGGCCGCTCTTTGCTCGCTACTGCCACAAACGCCGCTCTCCCACCTGACAGCTGAGGACACCTTCTATGGCTGGACGCCGGTGCACTGGGCCGCGCACTTCGGCAAGGTGGGCGCGGGCGCTTTAAGGCGCCATTTTCCGCGTTTTTTCTCTGAGTGTTAGAGTGCACCCCGCCGTGTCTGAAAAGCGCGGCGGAAGCGGGGTCCGCGGTGAGCGACTCGGGGGAAACGGGGGGCGTGCCGGGAGTGCACTGCAGAAACTGGACTAGCGGTGCCGGCGCTCCGAGGGGTCCACAGCGCATGTGCGGCGGCCGAGCGCCTCGGGGGGCGCGGGGTGTGCTGGGAGGCGGGGCGGAAGTAGGGTCGGCCTGGCTGGAGCCGGAGGGGCTCAGGGCGCATGTGCAGCCCTTCTGAGCGCTCTGGTGGCTTGAGAAAGGCATGCTGGGCGGGAGGGAAGGCTGGCTTGCGGGCTGGTCGCCCACGCTTCGGGGAGTCGTGTAGACGTTCCCGTGTGCTGCGAGGAGGGAACGCGGCCTCGTGGGGCTGCACGTCCCTATCTCCTTAATGGAAACCTGGGCGGGAGCGCTTTTCAGAGACGACGGGACGGACACCGTCCTCGCCGCGGATAGGCGGTCCCAAGTCTGCGCCCGAGGCAACCCTTGGCGGGCGCGGGAAAACCTCTCGGCTGTCTCCCAGGACTTGGGTAGTGGCCCTCGCCGCCCAGTTTTCTTAAGGTGGCGCAGTCAGCCCCCTCCTGTCCGACCCGAGAATCCTGGATTGCATGACAGTGGGTGTGCAAACCCCATACCGCCCCACGCCGACTTAGCTCCCCGTGAGGACAAATATGCCTCCAGCCGAGTTAAAACGACAAGCCTAATGTGAGGGTATTTTCCCCCGGTTACAAAAGAAAACCGAAATCGCTTTTCTACGTCCACCGAGCCCGATTGGTAGATTCTTGGTTTTGGTGACCAGTATGGTACCAGGAGCAAGTGGTTTTGAGCTGTTTTTGACGCCTGGATGGCGGTAAGATGCAGAAGGATCCTGAAACTCGGTTCTAATGCCCCCTCCTTCCCCGCTGTGAGGAAAGCCCTGGGCGGCAGAGGCCCGATGTCTTTCCCCAGCGGTACCAGCTATTGCCTTCTTCTGTAGGTTTCCGTACCTGAAATTCGGTTCTAACGCCCCCTCCTTCCCACCGTTTTCTTTAGGATGTACCAGTGGTGCCCAGGTTACCCAGCCGTTTCTGAAGCTTGTTGCTAAAGGGCTAAATGTAATTAAAAATTTCTAATTACACCTTGCTTTTACAAGATGCCACGTTAAAAAGTACTCTCCAGAATTCCAAATCAGTTTCCTAGACGAATCCATAGCTAGCAGGCTCGAGTCCTGCGAACTCTCAAAAGTTAAAGGTTTAACTCCTTTTCACTTGCTCAGCTACTTTCCATCTTTCATTTTTATCGAGTTTGACGCCTGTTCATTTTACCACTAGTTGATACTTTGATTTTTCACTTGGGAAATTCAAGACAGTTCTCACCAGCTATTGCTTCCAGCTCCTCTTCATTGTTTTAAAAACCTGTGTGCTCTTCACTGTAAGGCTTCAACCCAGAAGTGTCTGTTGAAGTGAGCTGTCCTTTAGAAGGACAGGCTTAATTGCTGAGTGAGATAGATAAGGAGATTTGGAGCACTGTTCTTAGATCTCTCTTGAACAAGAGAATTGCTTGTAACCAGGCACAACTACACTAACTGCCTTGTGGTCAGTTAGAGAGAAACTGGCAGTCTCAGTTTGGAGAAGAGGTGAGTCAAAAGATTCCTGGGTACAAGGTTAGGTACTTGGTGTAAATGTGTTGAAAGTGATGGGCTCTTAACAAGATCAGCTAGCATGGTTTTGGGCCTGGCTATAAAGTCTTGTCTTTTCCAGTGTTCCAGTTAGTCACCTGCAGAGCTCAACTGTTCACATATTTTAAAGGCTAAGAAAGTTATATGGGAAATGGTTCTCTGGAGCATTCAGTGTTGGCTAATTTAAAGGTGGGTAGAAAAGGGTTGTGTACACTGTGGAAGCCTTTATGAAGAGATTACTATGGTTACATAGTTTTGTAACCTACCAATCACATTTTCATTGTGTAAAAGTCTTGTTAGAAATTTTAGAGTGGTGTACTCTGATCTTATTTTAACTTTTTCAGTTATAGGAAAAATAAATTATTTTTTGTGAAACTTCTATGATTTTTTTTTTAATAAGGATGAGGGAAATGTTCTTTAAATTTTTGTATGGTGTTGGGAATAAATTTATTGTCAAAAGAAAATAGGGGTAATAAAATTGCCACTTGTCACCGTGATGGAATTTAGGTTGTGTGGTACTAATTAGTGTACTGACATGCCCTGTTTTTTTGTTCTCCCTCCTGTGTTTGAAGTTGGAGTGCTTAATCCAGTTGGTGAGAGCAGGAGCCACACTGAATGTCTCTACCACCCGCTATGCCCAGACCCCGGCCCACATTGCTGCTTTTGGAGGACATCCCCAGTGCCTAGTTTGGCTGATTCAAGCTGGGGCCAACATTAACAAACCGGTAAGAATGCCCAATTGACTCTGCTTTTGTTTTTCCAGTTACAGTGACACACATGATGATTGTTTTAAACTGAAGCCTTAATTAGTTTGATGACTTTACCTGAGGCAAATGGAATTTTCCCCTTTAGTTATTTGTGGATAATAGGCTCTTTCCAGAGACTTGTGTTCAGTTTATTGAGTGCTTTTACCTATTGTATGACTCACCCAGATCTGATTCTGTGATTTGCCCAAGGTCACAGCTGATAATTGAAGGTGGTTGGCCTAGAGCCCAGATTTCCTGGATGCTGCTCACAGCTGCCTTAACTTCACAGATACCATAGAAACGCATGTAGGCTAGCAAAAGGCTAGCTTATATCCGCTTCAGGGTGAGTTTAAGTTGCCTTGGACACTAGGAGGGCATGATGACGGAGTGCAGGAAGTTTCACTGTGTCATTTACTTGGGAAGAGTAAATGACTTGAGGAATTTGTAGTTAGGATTAAATGTACACACTGGAGTGTGGTGAGTCAGTTTTAATGGTGTGTTTCGAGAATCTCTTCCCCTGAGTGAACCCCTATATGAGTGTTTTATGTTACTAACCTATGGTGGAAAAGCCAGTAGATGAATCAAAGCAGGCAGAACTTACTGTCCAGCTTGGAGGGTGGATTTCCTGCTGATGGCCAGAATGGTTAGGGTGTATTTTTCTTGTTGTTTTTGTTTTTTACCTATTTTTCCTAATAGACGTCAATGTCCTCCAATGTGCAAAGGAACTTTTGTTTCTTTCCTCTTTTTTCTCTGTCTTGAGATTCGCTCCTTGGTTATATCAGTTGTTGGGCAGCTGTGGTTCCTCCCCTGAGGGACTACCCACCTCAAGCACAAATTCACATGTCTTGGTCCCCTTTGCACTCTGCAGGGCAGTGGCGTGTCTATTTGCCTTGAATCTATACTCTTGCCTTCTGCCTCAGAGTAGACCAGGGACTGTGGTGTCGAGTCCCATGTTCTGCTTCCTTAGCAGTCTGGCTTTGGGCAAGTCACTTATTTAGACTGATTCCGTTTCTATCAATAAAACGTGGACAGTAGTTCATGAATGCCAGTAGTTAATATTTACTGTTACTGTAGAATTTAGAGGCCAGCCTGGTCTACATAGAGAGTTCCAGGTCAGCTGGAGCTACAGGGAGACAACCCTATCTCAAAAAGATCAAAAAGAAAAAAAGGAATTTAGAATTTTCTGTCTGTTAACTGTAAGATGCTAACAAAATACTTAATTTAGAGACAAATAAATTGTTCACTGCTGTTTTTCAACTAGCGTCTTAACAGTAGTTCATTATTCTCAACAGTTGTTGAGAATGAGGACTTGAGGGTGTGCCATTGTGTCCCCCACTGCCCTCTGTGGACCACCTGCACTTTGATTCCCCGAGCGAGACTTCCCAGGTCTGCCCTTGCCGCTTCCTATGTACTCAAATGCTTACCTGGCTAAACATTCCCAGGTCCTCATGGACCTAGAGTATCCAGAATCCCCTTAGCAAGTACGCATTCTGGAATTCCTCCTGAAGGGTCCTAGACTGTTAAAATTTTCTTATGGTACAGCTTTGATCTCAATCACAGAGATTACTTTGCTCTGTAATCATGGGTAGACCAAGGCCTTGGTTCATCTTGAGGTGGGCTATTTCCTTGTTTTCCCATCATTGCTTATGTGCACTTGATTTTTTTTAACCTGTTGTAGCATTTCTTCTGCTAGCCTCTGGCATGTGAGCTACTGACAGGTCCATGGTCATTTTCCCTGAGGCTCTTACGGACTTTCTTGGCCATTTGTCAGGTGAACTGAGATGACAGAAACTGCTGTCTATAGACACTGTTGCAAGCTTCCCAAAGAGGAAATGAAGCTAACTTTCCTGAGGTATATATTTTTAGTGCCCATATTGATGGGCCTTGCTAAGGATTTGCAAGTCATTGCTAATTGGTAGTAACAACGTTGGGCAGGAACAAGGAGCCCAAGGGGTAAAAATATTTACTAGAACAGTTGATTTTTTTTTTTTAATGTTTTAGTAAAGAATAAATGGATATAGCTCAATGGTAGACTTGCTTAGCATATGTGAGGGCCCTGAGTTCTATTTTCAGCAACTACAGTGGTAAATCCTCAGAATCACACCCCTGAGACGGAAAAGGGGTCCTTTTATGCCACTTAAGAAAAGTTATCTGCCAGGCATGGTCGCACATGCCTTTAATTCCAGCACTTGGGAGGCAGAAGCAGGCGGATCTCTGTGAGTTTGAGGCCAGCTAGGGAGACCCTGTCTCAAAAAGGGGAGGGAGGGTATCTGGCCATGCCTCCCTTGAGTGAAGTCCTATTTGAGTATATATAGTACAGGAGGACAGCTTGCTGTCTTGAGGCAGTAAATTTAATTTTACTTGCTTTTTATTTGTTTGTTTGTTTTGAGACAAAGTCTCCTTATAGCCCCAGTTGACCTGGAACTTGCTATGCAGACCAGGCTGGCCTCGAACTCACAGAGATCTATCTGCCTCTGCCTGGAAAGTTCTGGGACTAAAGGCATCGGCCACCAAGCCCAGCTGAGGTAGTAAATTTTATGGCGCCAATTACCCTTCCTGATAATGGCCAATTGGGTTGAGGGGCCAGGGGCCATTAGCAGTTAGGCTCTGGTAGTTTGTATAAAACAACAGAAGTCATTTGGTCAGGCTCTAAGCAATTAGGATCTGTTTGCTGGAGAGTAAGGAGCAAGGAATTCTGCTTTGTATTTTTTGGTCCTTTTATTTTTGCCTTTTTGTCTCCACAGAGTAGAAATTAATTTTTTCTTTATTTAAAACAAAGGTAGGTTGGGCATGGTAGCACATGCCTTTTTATTCTAGCTCTGAGGAGGCGGAGGCAGGTGGATCTCTGAATTCCAGGCCAGTCAGGGCTACATTTTGAGACCCTTCTCAAATAAAAAAAATCTCCCTACTGAACCTGAACTTGGCTGGCTGGCCAATAAGCTTCAAGGATCCAGGATCCAACTGTCGTGGGTTACAGACATGCATCTTTGATTGAGCCTGTTTTTTTTTTATTTTTTTTAAAACAGGGGCGCTGGGAATCCAAGCTCAGGTCCTCTTGTTTGTGTGGCAGGCACTTTACAATCTGGGCCATCTCCTTAATCTCTTTTGGTGTAGCTTTAATTTGTCTTTATGTCGAACGTGTCTGGCTCCTCCATACCTTTGGGAAGGTAGTTTGCTTTTTTAAAACATCTGAGTTCACTAGATAGTTCTTGGATAGTTCTAGTGGCCTGCTGTCATTTCTCTTAAAAAATAGAATTTTTTCCTGTTTAGAGCCTGGTGTCTTCTAACTCATTTAGAACCATTTAGGCCCTTGTTTAAATACACGGCCATACTCCCTGTTCACTCTTAACAGTTTTCTGCAAAACAATCCACCCCCCAACCTCCAGTGAGCACTGGGGAAATTTATGAATGAACTTTTCCCAGGGCCATACTCTCTGCATAGTTACTCCACTCCTGCCTTTTATCTTTATCCCTTAATTATGTAGAACATAGGTACTGTCAGCTGCAGCTTTCGGGTACCTTGAAGTGGGATCAGTTCAAGTACCAGCAAAGCTTTTCCCTCAGGAGTTCCTGGTCAACACCTCAGGTGAATGTTTCTAACAGATATTCTGCTTCTTGCTTGCTTCTATCTCTGTTTACCTTTACTGCATTTGGTTCTTACAGCCTAGGAACATTGTACTTGAGGGTTTTTTAAAACAGTGTAAATGATTTTTTTTTTTTTTAATGTGTATGAGCGTATTGCCTGCATGTATGTGAGTGCACCCGTGTCTTGCAATGCTGCAGAGGTCAGAAGAGGGCGTCAGATTCCCTGGAACTGGAGTTAAAGACAGTTCATAGCCACCATGTGGGTGCTGGGAATTGAACCTGGGTCCTCTGCAAGAGCAGTTAGTGCTCTTAACCACTGAGCCATCTCTCCAGCCCTGTAAATGATTTTTTTTAAATGACTTCGAAGTGTCTTCCCTGAATTTGCTCACCTCACTTTTGACTCTTGCCACTTTGTGCCTGTAGTATTTTTGTTAAACCACAGGTCTGTTTGGACTATAAAGCTTGCTTGTTCTGGTTTAGATTTTTCCTTCTCCTTGTCACACCCTACAATCTCAGATCATCTTGTCTAAAACATGGTACCAATTCAAAATAAATAGTTCAGGTAACTTCTTGGAGTCAGGTAAGTTTTTGGGGTCAGCACCGCAGAAGCTACAGAGGACATATGGGGAGCCTGGACTTGAAGTTAGCTTATGTTTCTTGGCCTGTTGGCTGTCTGTGAATTTGTTTTCATTGGTCATAGGATAGTTATTTTGGAATTTGGTTACAACACATTTGTGCCAAGCTCCAGTATAGGACAGTTTGCAAATCACCATTGCTGGCACTCAGGCTGTCACTATGGGAAAAGGCCCTGCCCCTTGGTTATTGACTTGTGGCTAAACATTGTGGAAAATGTGAGAGGTGTACCCTGCTACCTGGTTTTCATCTTCCCTTCACATGCAAGGTGCTTTGTTCTGCTTCAGATTTTGCTTACCACGTTACTTTATTTCACATAGGAGGAGGCTTCTGTTCCGTGTTGATTACTTGCTTCTCACTGAACAGTTTAGTTATGAATGTGTATGTTATGTTTCAGGACTGTGAGGGGGAAACTCCTATTCACAAGGCAGCCCGCTCAGGGAGCCTGGAGTGCATCAGTGCTCTGGTGGCCAACGGGGCTCGTACCGAGTAAGTATCTTCAATTATTCCTCCCACTTAGAGATGTAGTCAAAGTGTTCTGTCCAGAAGTAGCATTTAGAGCAAGCAAAAGTCCTAAAAATCTTGTTTCTATTGAGGAGGTGGTATTGAGGAAAATTGTGAGTTAGGTTGACAATTAACAGATGGAGGCTTAGTTCCCAGTGACCTCAAAGCTCTCATAAAAGTGTAGTGAGCTGGAACAGTGGCCCATTAGATTTGGACCTTGATGCCACTGATTTTGCCACTATGTAGTTGTGTCACTATGGCAAGACTTGACACTTCTCCTTGCCAGGTTTTAATTTCAAAACAAGGGGGCTTGGATTTGAGTAGAATGTCTTCTTTGCTGGCCTTTCTGGCTCAGTCTTGAAGACCATTTCTAAGTCCAGATTTTCTCAGCAATACAAGGTTACATTTAAAGCCTCTTTTGGCCTAATGATTTATAGCTCGTTATAAAACAGGACCACTTACATTAAAGACTTGAAACCTGCTTTGAGTTTTTGATACTGAGAGCATTAGTTTAGCATGTCTTTGTTTTAGTGCCATTTACATGAGCTAAAGTATCATTTGCTGGAACAATTTTAATGCTAAGAAATGTGATCTTGTATGCAAATCATTAGCTAGCTATGGCCTTGTACATTTATTTGGGTATTAATTTGTTTTAACTCTTTTTTACATTGTATAACTTTTCTTCTACAGTTCACAGCATTAACAAGATGGATGCGGTTTTTTCACTCTTAAATTGTTCAGTGTAAGCTATAGAGAGCTGTAATAATCAAAATAACTGATAGCAGATTTTAAAATGATATAACTGTTATGAGTAATTCATAAAAATTAATTAAAAACCACTTTTTTGTAAATGTGAAAATTGAGACATTGGAAAGAAGACCCACACAACTTAGTTTAACCCTTTGGTTTCCATTTCATTGTTTTGACTCTGTATTATAGTAAATTTTGAATGAAGATCCTGAATAGCAAAGCCATATAAATTAGACCATGTAGGTCTTAGTCTTGGTGTCTCAGCTTCTGTTTCATTCTTATTGGCAAGTTTTGCTTTTGTTTGGGCTTGGATCCCTTAGTTAGTGTTATAAATACAGCCTGCACTGGCCAAGCATAGTATCACATGCTTATATCCCAAGTCCTCAAGAGACTGAGACAAAAGGATCAGAACTTTAAGGCCCACCTAGATTACATAGTGAGACTGTCTCAAAAACAAAAATATAGCATGTATTAACTGCTACACTTTAAAGACCCTTCTAACTTCATATTTAGTTGGTATAAGGTAATGTAAAAACAATTTGATAATGTGAATATGTATCATAATTTTAAACCATTAAGGTGATTCTCAATTGCTTTAAGATTGTGGATACAGTTTTAGCTGTGTTTACATTAAAAACTTTATACCTTTAATTTTAATAACAGTCTTTGATTATAAAATACAGAGTCATATAAAAAATAATTGATTAAATTGCCTAATTATCATTTATGGAAATAATAGATAATTGAAGTTGATCTTTTTACCAACTTATTTTTTTAAATACTCTAATTGGTCCTGTACATTTTATTACAAAGCTGTTAGTTTTATTCATTTTAACCGGTAGCTTAATCTTTTGAGCCAGTAAATCTATCACTATGTCCTTTTTTTTTTAGTAGGTATCTTAAAATATGACTATCTTTTATTTATAATTCTGTCCTTGGTTACAGGACCCTCAAGTGTCTCTTTTCTACCAGGTGTGGCTGAGCATGGCCTCGAGAGTCAGTCTGTCCCCCATCTCAGTACAGGAGCCACCCCCTCGAGACCCTGCACTATGGTGACTGCCCTGGACTGAGCTTTCACATTTTCTTTTTCTTTCTTTTTTTTCTTTTTTTTTTTTTTTTTTTATAAATGTGTACGAGTGTTACACTTGGCTTAAGCTACCTAGCCAAAAGCAGTTCTTAACATTAGATGTCTTTCGCCTGGAGTTAGAGCACAAGTAGTCATTACGATTGCTATTGTATATGTGGTTACTGAGTTTTAACATCCAGATAGAGCATCAGTTTGCACTAATCTTAGTTGGAAAGTGCTTGTTTATAGTTTGCCCTATTTAGTCAGTTTCGACGATTTCAATCCCCCAAGAAATGGTACCAGGGTCTGTTTTGTTCCCTATAATGCTGCTTATATGGTCAGGTGTAGTTTTAGCAAATAATATGTGTCCCCCCACCAACATCAAAAGTTTAGCATTAATTTACTTACTTAAAATTATTTTTTTCCTATTTCAGAATGGATCAGATTGTTAATTCTTCATTTTATAATCCATAATATTTAGGAGATGCTAAATAATTTTTTCCTTCTGTGAATAGGTTAAAAGCTGCCTTATACTGCTGTTTTTAAATTAATGGTTTTGTTCTTAATTTCCACTCTGGTTTCTATATATCTTCTACATTAAAGTGGCCAGAGACTAAATTACTGGGGTTTTTTGGTCATCTGATAGATAATGAAGGCAGTTATCTAAGTTTCTGTGGCTAGAATGGTTTGTTACGTGACTTACTTGTTAATGTAGGTTGCAACTGTAAGATAACGCATTTCAGCTGCTGTGCATCGTATTAAATTTTCTAGCACCACACGTGAGTATGTTAATAGTTTTGTTTTCTTCTCTTAATTTAAATCTTGAGTTTTGGTGCCAAGTTGTCTTTTCATATGAGCTTCTGCTTCTGGCCTATGTGATGGTCATCAGCATTTGCCATTGTTCACACCTGAAAGTCAAAATACACAGGATCACACCTCACTTCTGTGAGCAAACTAAACATTATTGCACCTTTTAAAGAATCTCGAGCCATGTCTAAGCATGTTGAATTGTGGTTCTTGACCTTCCTTACCTTAGCTGTCCTGGCTGCTCACTTCAGTCCTGGCATTTTGATAGAAGACAGGCATGTGCCAGCATAGAAAGGACCACACTTTTTTTTCCTTTGGATGATAGAATGAGTTAACAGTGTATGGTTGGGTCTTAATACGATTTTGCAAAAAGATAAAAATTTGCTATGTTAATGATTAAAAACCTTTTTACTACTGACATTTGCTCCTAACAGCAAATTTTGTGCCTTGGATTAGCTTTACTTTGAGAATTTTGGCTACTTTATCTTCTTGAGAGAAAGAATGTTTTCCTATCAACCCAATATTGAGATAGTATTTCTTTATTCCTTTTGATCGCAATAAAGGGACTTAGCTGTGCATTAGTGAAACCCTAGGCACATCCGCTGTTCCATCTGAAATCATTCTGTATGGTTGGAAGCTAGTGCCTGATGCCAGTCTTCCTGTTCATTAGGAGAGGATTCCTTTAGAATCATGTATTTTGTGATAACCAGGTCTTCTAGATTACCTTGGAAGTAATTATTGTGAACTTAAGAGCAACCTCTCTGATCACAGCTCACTATAGAGAAGTAACTAAGTTCCATGACTCACTGTACAACAGGCTGTCTTGCCTAGTATGGGAAACAGACACAGTTGTCTATAATATTAGGAGCCTAAAATGATAATAACACTGTGCTGTAAACATGCTGCTGAGCTTCTAGAACTTCTTAGTACAGGGGAATAGGTGTATTTACTTAACCACTGACCCCTGCCTAGAGGCAAAATTATCACCAGAACAGATACTTGTGATGAATGTACTTACAGTATTGTCAGAAGTACAAAGTTGTAACTTTGATTCTGGGTACAGTATAACCCAGATTTACTGTTAGTCATTTACTTCTGATGTTTATGATTTTAATTCATTGTTCACTTACTTGTCCTTCAGAATAGTAGTCCAGTATGATGTTGCGGGTGCCTCTGAGTTCTTGTCATCCCCACGTGCTAATCCTTGCTCTTTCTGATCATGCTACTGTAGATTCTTTGCTCTTGGTACTTGGTGTTCCTTTTTTCTTTACAGAGACTGTAGGATGGAGGGATGGTTTCCTGAGACAACTAGGTCTGCCCACGAGGCAGAAGCAAGCAGTGTATGAGAGGGCTCCAGAGTTGACAAATTTATCTTACGATTTGGGTTATTTTTCTTAAAGTGTAGATTTCAGCTTTTCTTTAACTCTCGTTTTTATGTAAAAATAGTGCTTTAAAATCAGATCAACAATTTCTAAATCCCAGTTTTTTTCTCTGCTAAATCATAGTAAAACTTGCTAAATATTTCATCAAACTCCTTGAATGATGTTCTTATATTTTTATGTATGCAAACATAATTGTGGTTCAGTTGTAACATGAAGGCATCTTCAGTAATGTTGAACTTGAAATGTAAACTTGGCACCAAATTTATTCAGGAAGAAACTTTAAAAATAGTTTCTTCTTATTGTTAACTGAAGAGTACATTTATGAAAGTCTTGATAATTTTCTGTTTGGATACCAAAGGGTTAAAAATGCACTTGTATTTCTTTTACTGAAGTAATTTCAGATGTTTGCTAATGTTTTGTCTGTACAAATGGACATTTAGTAATGTTTTTTTTTCCTTTTTTTAATGATTCCATTTATTTGCTTATTTCCATCTAGGAATAGTTACTAATGTATTTGCGATACAGCATACCAAATTTTAAAGTAACCAGAATCGTGAGTTGATGGTTTTTAGTCCATACTATTAAACTTTTGTTGAAATATTGACATATTTAAATTGGCTTCATGCTAAAGTTACAAGAGGTAACTTGTAAAGACAGTGCTAGAGTGGTCGCTGGTGGTCAGGATGGTCATATGCCAGCGGCTTAGCTCTGACAGCTTCTGCACCTCATGTGTGTTTATGTATTTTTAATCCAATGTTGCCTGCAAATGTGATCTTTATGATTTAAGTTTCCTGTGTATGAACCATTGCCCGTTTTAAGTCACGCAGAAGATTCTGAATCTGTAAAAACTACACATGTCAATGTTTTACAGCTACGTAATTCGAATTGACTTGATTTTTTCAAGTAATCCTAGAAAGGGGGAGCATTCCTATAGAAACTGCTGAAACTGCCACAGGTGCTTCTCCGAAACCTTACGGTTGTGGCATTGAATGTTCAGTATCGCTTCCTTTCTGCACACAAGGCATACTGTTGAGGTATTTGTTGCGGTGATTGGTTTTAATGCTAATCTAGGAATTCAGATATAGATTCTTTAGATTTGCATGCTTTGCTTATCCTAATTTATGGTACCTATCTTTTATTTGTAAACTAACAATAGCTAAATTCAGATCAGAATTTTAACAGAAATATTTATATAAAAATTGTGGGTTTTTTTTTTTATTGTCACATGGCATTAACAAAAAACATCTCGAAGGTGCTATGACACCTTGAATTCTAAAAATTTTACTTCAGGTATTTCCTAATCTGTGATTATTACTTTAATTTAAAAAACTACTTTCATTGGAATGGCTTCTCTATTCTGGTATTGTGGCACTATAAGTGGAAAATCAAAGGGGATAGCTGGCCTTGGTATGGAGATCAGTTCTAACTTCCTGGGGAAGAACTCTTAGGTAAATAAGATAATACTCCATTCAGAATTAAGAAAATTGTGTCTGTTTTAACATTTGTAAGATTGATGCTAGTTTGATTTTGCCACTTGGGCGAAATACTTAACTTTGTACCTAGAATTACTGTCTCTTCCTATGTGCTTGTTTTCTGATTCTGAAAGACTAGCAAGAGGGCTGGGGGAGGGAGGCTCAATGATAGAGCCCTTGCCTAGCATGAGGCCCTGGGTTTGATCCCCAGCACTGCTGAGAGGGTGGGGTGTTTGAGAAAAGTGGTAATAGGTTTCTCTTGTGGATGTTAGGCCCATAGAGAGTAGGTGAGGGCTGAATATTGCTTTAAAGAACATTTTTAGTAGTATCTCCAAGTAGTTTTAAATATCTCTTCAAAAGATGTCCTTTGTCCTTATTGATAAACCTCACTGGAGTTTGGATCAGGATGGCCGGCCTGTTTAGGTTACATAACACACCCAGTGAATGTTGGTGGAGGACTGAAGGGGTTGACTTAACAAGCACGAGATCCAAAGTATAGAATGGACAGAGAAGTCAAAAGTCAGTTGTCTCATTCGTGTGTCAACCTTCCATGGAGCTTTGGAAAATAGGGTAGGGTTGGCAGAGATTATATCTTTAAACTGGGAACACAGAATAGAGGATAAAGGTTCAGTAAGCTTGGTGTATTCTATCCAGGATCACTGTCTGACCTAATAAACACCCAAGTGTCTTTCTCTAAAAATCAGTGTTTTGAGGACTAAGGGTGAATTCATTGGTAGAAAGCTTGCCTATTGTATGTGAGACCCAGGATTTGATCCCCAGCACCGCAAAAAGCCCATGTTTTGAGACTATATAATTTATTGTTTACTCTAATTTTGGTGTGGTACCCCATAAAATTTTTAGCCTGGGATGAATTTGAAAATCAACTTTAAAAGGTAGTCTGAGGACCTGGAAAGTAGCTTTCACTTTGTGCACATTGCTACTTACAGGTTTCAGTCAGTGTGAGACACTCAGGTGGAGTCATGGCAGTGGGTGGGACAGGGAATGCTTGGTCTAATATTGATATTTGTCTTAGTATGTAATGTTTTGCGATATATTTGGCAACTTTTCTTTCCTTTTTGTTTGAATATAGTGAATCCAGTAGTGCATGAAATGAATGGAAAGTCTCTCAGGAAGTCCATTAGGAAGAGCAAAGGAATGGGTTAAAGTGTCAGTCAACAGACCATTTCCCTGGCCTGTTGTATGGCCCATAGGCTAAGAATGATTTTTTTAAATTTTAGGTGCAGTTGAACAAAAGTCAAAATAATAACATATGAAATGACCTGAGATTCTGATTTCATTGTCCATGAAGGATTATTAGAACATAACCATGCTGGCTTGTGTGTAACTGCTTTCAGGCTATAAGAGTTGAGTAGTTGGGACTGAGATCTTATGGTCTGCAGTCCAGGAAAAGTACCACCTTGAATTAGATGTTCCCTTGTGATAGCTCAAGCCAGCTGCCCTATAGAGAGATTTGATATAAGTGGAGAAGTTGAGAGCCTCTCACACAAGACTTGAGTCAGGTAATGAGTGGAGGTGAGCAGGAAAGGAAGTGATGGAACATGGCTGGTGAAAGAGGAGAAGATAATGGCTGGTTTTGATGTGCCAGCATCAGATGTTAGTAGATCCTTCTGCTTGAGAATGTAAATGTTAACTATTGTGCACAGTCTGTAGTCACTACAGGCACAGGGGATACATTCTGCATTCCCACCTCTGATAATGCCATACAGGTAGTACCATTTACAAATTGAGTAAATTACCACTTCTAATTAGTTTTTCCAGTCAGTGTAGCCCAGACTCTGATGTCTTTCCAGTGCATTACCTAGAATTGTTTGATTCCCATTTGCATTTACTTTTGGCCCCTCAAAATTATGTGAGAGGCTTATTTTGACCTCTGGCTGTGCTTGCTTGCTGCATGGTCCATGAATGTGATGCACAGCACGGGTTGGCTGTTGTCCCTTTCAGCTTTTCTTCTAAAGTAAATTTAGAAAGTAGTGCCTTAAAATACCTAGAAGTCTGCTTGACTCTAAGTACAGTGATGACGCCACCGTTGATGACATTTGATGGGTGATGCAGTTATCCCCACTTCAGCCTGCATCTTCTGATAGTCTCAATGTATCACCGAGTCCCCATCTGCCTCTTTTCACTGAAAAGGCATTAAACCCCACCCCATAAAATGATTTGCTGTTTATTTTTAATTTTCTGTTTACAGTAAAGAGTGCTCTTTTGTACTTTAGATTTTTTTTAAGTGCTCTTGTCCTACAATTAAATGTTGGCTTCTTGTTTTTTTATTCTTTCATTTTGGTGAGCAAGACCTCAATTATCTATAGAAATGATCATTTTGGGGCCAGTGGGCTGAGTAAAGATGCTTGCTACCAAGGCTGACAATCTAAGTTCAATCCCTGAAACCCACGTGGGAGGACAGAACAGACGCCTCACAAGTTGTCTTCTGTCCTACACAAATGTGCCATGGCACATGTACAGCCATATGATAATAAAAGTGATCATTGTGAACAATGTTTATAGTGTCAGTCTTAATCTTTTCAAATTCTGAAGAATTTTGAAATTTTTATACAATGCTTTGTTTCTTGACAAAGTAGATATGTCTTCATCTTTACTTTGGTATCTGAAAATGAAGGCCACAAATTCATGAGAGTCATAAGCTATGTTACTGAGTGGGGCCCTTAATATTGGTGTATGTCATTTTAATGACCAGTGGGCTTTGTTTTGGACATGTGTAATTAACTCATGTTTCCTTTTAATTCATATATTAGTAAAGGTGCTGCAGTGAATGTACGTCAGAATTCACGGCCCTGAAATCTTAATGATTAACAACAATGTCAGCTTTAGTTCCTAATGATCCTGTATGTACTTTTCATTTTTAAAGAAAGTGCTAGTGATTTCTGGAATTCTTAATCTTGTCTTTTTATATCCCATTAAACTGGATTTCAGGGCTGAGGAAGATAAGTGCTGAGCCTGAGGACCTGGGTTTGGATCCCCAACACATGTAAAAAGCCAGGCTCAGTGGCCAGCAGCTATAACCCTACCACTGGCAGGGGAGTTGGGGGGAGGGAGGTGAACAGCTGTCTATCTCTAAATCAGTGAGTTCCAGGTTCAGTGAGAAACCCTGTCTTAAAAAATAAGATGGAGAGATGGTTCGGAGATGGTTCACACATACTGCTCTAGCCGAGGACCTGAGTTCAGTTCTCAGCACTCTTGTTGGGTACCTTATAGTTACCTGTAACACTCCAGCTCCAGAGGATCTGACATTCTCTCCTAGCCTTTGGCCACTTGCACTCACATGCATGTACCCACACACAGACATAGGCATATAAACACAAGCACATAAAAATAAAAACTTTAAAAGATTTTAAAAAATAATGTGTATGAGTGTTATGCCTACATGTATGTAAGTGTATCTGTATTGGGCAGTGCCCGTGAAGGTCAAAAGAAGGCCTCTGATTCTTTGGTACTGGCAGTTGTTAGCCGCCATGTGGGTGCTGGGATTCAAACCTGGGTCTTCTGCACACTAACAGCCAGTGTTCTTAACTGCTGAGCCATTTCTCCAGCTCCAAAAATAAATCTTTAAAAAAATGTAAGATGATACTTACCTGGCAGGGGAGACACCGTGATCAGGAAGGTGGTTTTCCCAGAGTGAGGCCCATCCATTGCACTTGGGATGTGCTGACCCCTGCGATTTTTCCCAAATGTGGGAAACTCAACTGCCTAATTTGTGGTAATGGGGGACTGCGTTTGTGCTTTCCCCTGCAAAAAAAAAAAAAGTAAGATGGAGAGTGATTGAGGAAGACAACTGATGTCAACCTTGTCTCCACATATGTACATATGCACACAAAAACACTATACCTCCATACACCACACACAAGCTAAACTAGACTTGAGCCTGTCTATACTACATTTCCCTAAGTTTTTAAAAGTATTTATGTTTAATGAGTGTCCAGAAATGTTACTAATTTTTCAAGCTGAAGCTTAATGCATATGATCACTAGAAATAGGAATTCAAGGCTGTGATTATCCTTGTAAGCTAAAAATCATTATTTGTCCCTGAGCCTGTACTTTTTGCACTCTGATTTTTGAAGTTTGTTTGTTTGTTGCCTTAACAGTAACCCTAACAAGCAGGCTTGGATTGGTCATCTGTGACCCAAAGTGAGGCCTTCATTTCATCACGTCTTGGTTGGGCGTGAAGGATAGCTGGCTGAATAGGTATGAAGCTCTCTTGAGTACTACTCCAATTTCAGTCTGTCAGCCTGCAGTTAACAGAATGTTTGCTTCCCTGCAGGTTTAGTTCATAAAGTATGTATGTTCTTGTCATCCAAGGGGACTTTAGCATAGAGTGGCTTTTGTTCCCTCAGTTTTCATTTCAGCGTTCTTGTGTTTATAAGTTCAGATGTTTCTTTTCCTATTTTATTCAGATCTTTCACTTAAACTCTGCTGGTACTTCTTAATTTTAATCAGAGTTCTTCCTTTTTAGTGTATCAGCCAGGTGACCTCTTAGTTCTTTTTTTGAGAGCAGGACTCCACCTGGGGTGAGCTCCTGGGCAGTACTGCAAGGCTTTTCAGAGGGATGCCACCAAACGCTGTAGAGTGCCAACTTGCAATACTCCTGCAAGTTTTCCTACGGAGGGCCAAACCTACCAAAGGAAATTCATCTTTTCTCAGATGTTGGGGCCAATGGCAGGTAACTTTGTCAGGATGTCCTTCTCAACTTCCACTTAGAATGCCACATGTCCGCATAAGATCTGGCTTGTTGCTAAGCTGGGACTTCTGTTTTTAGGAAGCCAGTTGTTATCAATGCCATGGACAATGTCAATAGATGCTTGTTTGTTATTATTTTACTCAAGCTAAAGGATGGGCTCTTAAAATAAGGTGCAGATAATAGAGAATTCAGTTTCAGGTGAAGTCTGAAGTTAGCATAAACTTAGATTCTTCAGACTAACATAAAACATGATTTTGAGAAGTTAAATAGGATAACTTTTTTTTTTAAGTTTAGTATATTGATTTTTTTTTAATTATCTCCCAAATCAAATTATGTATGAGAAGTTAGTTACAGAGCCAGGATGATTAACTGCTCCCTTAATGAAGATTTATTGTAGATTTGTTGACTATGTCACCTTCAGATAGATAGTCAGTTCAGCAGGAGCAGAGACCAGGGCCAAGTGCTGTGGAATGTAATTCAGTGTTTTTGTGTTGTGCAGCCTGAGAAATGCCAGTGGCTTGACAGCAGCAGACATTGCACAAACCCAGGGTTTCCAAGAGTGCACCCGGTTTCTCTTGAGCCTCCAGAGCCATCACGTGAGCCGTTTCTATCATAATGGCACCTTGAGTAGAGGTCATGAGAACATACTTCCCAATCACGTGAGCCTGGGAACAAATCGAAAGAGATGCTTTGAAGACTCGGAATCCTTGGGAGTAAAGAAAGCTAGAACTGGAGGTGAGACCATTTGGGGGTGAGAAAGAGCAGGGTTTTCCTGCCCTAACAAGTTTCTTTCATGGCTGAGTGTACCTTGCTGGGCTGCTGATTTTGTATCTTGAGGGTGTCAGGGGTACCGGAACCCAGTCTTCCCAACAGTGCCTGCTCTGCCTGTTGGAAGGAGAGGTTCTTAGTAAGAAGTGACCGTACCAAGTAACATTTTCAGAAATGTCCAGCCATTTTTCCTCTGACTGCAAGTCAGTAGGAAGGGGAAGTACTTATGTTTTTTGAGATGTCTTCATTGGCCACCTTTCCCAAATGTAGCTTCGGTGGGAGAAGTGCCACTGGCACCATCCTGTTGGGTGGTATGAGGCCAACTTAATTTCTTGGCTTGTGATGTGCGGTAAGTAAATAATTACAGATGTGAAGCATGCTTGCATCCAGCTGAGCAACTGTTTACAGGCAGTAGGAACAGATACAGCATGGAGATGGAGTCATGTCAGCCAAGGTTCTAGGGCAGTGTCTTCCTAGAGATCCAAAGGGACAGATTGAACACTGGCAAGAGCTTCTGGTCACTGGCCAGTGGACTCCTCAGTCTTTGGCTTCCTTCAGTCCCCAGACCTCCCCCTGGTTGTTGGGCTCCTCTGCCCCCTGGTGGTGTAACTGCCCTTGTATCTTGTTGCACTGCCAGGCCTGCCTGGGATTGATAGCTTTGATTGTATACCAGTTGTTCTAATAGTCCAGGAAAGAGATTGACTTTTTGTGGTTTGTTTCCTGACTAGTAAGTAGGGCTTCATTCCTTGATCAGGGAATTGCCCTGGGTATTGGGCTTCCTGGGCACAAAGACAATCATCCATGCTTTCCTGAGGAATTTTTGGTGTCCATTGCATTTGTCAGGTATTTTTATTTTGTGGGACAGGGTTTCACTGTGTAGTCCAGCTGACCTCAAACTCAGGATCCTCTTGCTTCAGCCTCTCCAGTGCTGAGGTTACAAGTGAGCACCCCACACCTGTGCTTCAGGTGTGTTTCTCTTTTAATCTACTTTTCAGAGGTGTGGAATTGCACAAAACCAAAAACCTCTAGTTGCCACTTCATACAAGGTCCATTGAGACATTAAGTGTGTGGGTTCTAGGCCCTGGCTGAGTGTCCCCAGCCTGAGTCTCTCTATAGAAGGATCTTGAATTTGGCTCAGCCTAGTAGAGAGGGAAGGAGTCCTGAACTCTGGCCTCAGGATGCTGAAAGCTCTCTGAGGTGGGGAGCAGCATCCCCCACACGCCTAGGGAATCAACCCCACCACCTCTCTACCTTTTAGTTTTTAAAGCTGGTCTGATTGCCACATAATGTTTCGAAGTAGGACCAGTTTGGTAGTGAAGGTGATGTCCTACCTCCTGCTAACTTGGGACTTAAGAAAGTTAAGGAAAAGCCTTGGGTGAGAAGGGCAGTTTCTAGGCTTCTAGTTTTCAAAGCCTCTGTGTATAAAAATGCTTTTGGTCTCAGACCTGTATGGGTTTTTGCTTTCCCCTAACCATGCAAATCACTGTTGTATTTCTCTCTGTCTCATGTATAATTCATTCAAAAATTGGGTTTCTCATTGTATACACTGTCATGTTGAGGGAGGTATCTGGGACTGGTATACATAATTGAAAGAACTCTTATACTTCTAAAATTAGCTCTAGTTAAAGCTATAAAGTTGAATTTTCTGTTTTGAAAGAAATGTTTTATATACCGAGTTCCTTTGTAATTTTTATAGTTAGCATTATGGGACTTTCGTGGATAATGTTGTTCTGCCTTGCTCTTACCTTCCCCCTCCCTACTGCACTCATGTCTACCCCTTTCTCAATGGTACCCTTTTCCCCCCAAGTAGTTTCTTTTGGGGGTGTGTTTATATAGTTAATTTAGATTCTGCAGTTGAGGGGGGTGGTAGTGTGTCTTTCTGCCAATTGCCTTCTCCTCTTCTACCACCAATCAGACCTCTTCCATCCCTCATAATCATAAATTCTTAGATAGATGTCATAATTTTATGCATGCATATTTAAATCTAGATTCCACGTGAGAAAAAGCATAGTATTTGTTTTTCTGTGTGTAGCTTACTTTGTTTAGCATGAAGATCTCTAGTTTCATCCATTTTCCTACAAATGACATTTCATTCATTATGACTGAATAGAAGTTGGTTGTGAACCAGGCATGGTGGTGCATGCCTTTAATCCCAGCATTCAGGAGACAGAGCTAGGCAGATCTCTGTGAGATCAAGGCCAACCTGGTCTACATAGTACGTTCCAGGGCCAGCTAGGTCTACAGGGAGACCCTGTCTCAAAAAGACACCCCCCTCCCAGAAAAAAAATTTTTTTATATATTTACATATATAATATGTGTGTTAATGAAGCAAGATATAAGTGTTTTGTAATGTCATTTTTTTGTTTCTAGTTTATGCAGCCTCTATATTCTCAAAAAAAAAAATCCTAGAATTAAAATTTTTGCCATCAAACAAGTCTGGAATACCTTAGATACTAGGAATTCATAACTTTCAGCTGAACTTGCTTAAAGAAATTTTTCCATTGTAAAAAGTAATTTCACAGTGTGAAACTTGATTAGTGATCATTGCTCTTTTTCTAATTATTTGACAGTTTTAAAGCTGTTAGTTCAAATAAAAAAGAGCAGAGACCAGGTGTGGTGGCGCACGCCTTTAATCCCAGCACTCGGGAGGCAGAGGCAGGAGGATCTCTGTGAGTTCAAGGCCAGCCTGGTCTACATAGTGAGTTCCAGGACAGCTGGGGCTACAGGGAGACCCTGTCTCAAAAAGACTTTAAAAAAAAAAAAAAAAAAAAAAAAAAAGAGCAGAAAGCACGTCTTAGATTTCTTGTGTGCACACAGAATGCTAAAGTTGTCTTTGTTTCTTGTGCAGTTCCAAGCCTGGATTGCGCCATGCCACTCGAGAATGGTGATACTGAAGATGATGCTGACAAAATGCACGTTGACAGAGAGTTTGCTGCTGTATCAGGTGGGAGTGGACAGTTTCCTGTTAGCTGCAACAGCACCCCAGTGGTTGAAGACCCCAAACAACGGGAGAGTGGTTCTGTTGGACCCAAAGAAATAGAAATATATACTGTTTCAGCAATGCAAACCCCCTGTCGTTGCAAGAATCAGTATGCATGCTATTTTTGACATAAATTCTCACAGACTTTTTTGCACTTTGTCCAGTGTCTTTTAAAATGTTATAATTTGCATATTTTTGGCACGTGTGTGAGTGCAATGATAAGTGTTACAATGAATTCTGTGGGTATGAGACGTTAAGTGCAATCTCCCTGTTGTGATTTGAAGCTTTTGCTTAATGTGCCTTGCTTATTTTTAATGAGATTTTCTGATGTGGCCTTTGGGTGACTATACCATGCTGTTGTTTATATTTTCAAGGCAATACACAGCAGGGTGGACAGCTCACTGTAAACACCAAGAGCTGGTGAACAGTGTAGCTTTGGCTTATGACCCACTCATGCCAGTGTGGGATCGGTTGTCCCACACTCTTGGTTGCTTTAGTGTCTGGCATGGTCGTGGTGGCACATGCCTTTAATCTTAGCACTTGGGAGGCAGAGGCAAGCGGATCTCTGAGTTCAAGGCCAGCCTGGTCTATATAGTTCCAGGCCAGCTGGGACTAGAGGGGTTCTCTATCTCAAAAAAATAAATACATTAAATAAATAAAAAGAGATCAGATTTTTTTTTTCCTAGCATTTAGAAGTTCTAAAAGATGTATTTATTTGGCTCCTGCCATTTTTCTACCATTCTTTAGGTGACCACAAAAGCATTATAGCCATTCTCTGCATGTTAATCTATTTTGAAATACTCGGTTGTTTGGGTTTTTTGTTGTTGTTGTTGTTGTTTTTTAAGAAAAGGGTCTCATGGTAATATCTTTGTTAAATTCTCTATTGAGAATAAAAGATTCACATATTGTGCTTTTCAAAGCCACATAAAAATATTTCTATGAACAGAACTTGTTGTTCTACACAATTGTTACAAATAGTGTTACCTTTTGCCATATAATTATCCTTGGGCAGTTTTGGTCAGGTATTACATTTAAAATACAGGTTTTCTGTCAGCGGAGGCTGTTTGATCTGACAAGTGAGAAGTAGCAAAACCTAATGCCTGCTTTTTATAACAACATTGCTCTGTGCTTTTGAATACGTAGAAGCAACTACTCTTGACTTCTTTTAATGACCAGGATATCAGAGCAAAGCTTGAGGGGGCCAGGCTTTTCTTCATCCCGGGTGTCAAGTCTCATAGGCCTCCTGGAAATTTCCAGGACTGCCTAACCAAAGAAGCAAACATTAGAAATCCATAGAGATTTGTTGCTGATTCCTTACGTAAACTAGCATCCTGTGTCCACAGCAGTTTGTGGAAACTGCTGCCTCTGTCCTGGAGAATCTGCACAGAAGTCAGGCAGAATTAACTGCTTTAGGGGTGTCTGCATTTTTAAAATTCATTCCTTGTTCTAATAGAATTCTATCCTAGTACAGTACATTTTTGAAGAGCTGTTCAAATAACACCTTCACATTTTAATGCCCCTCATTTGAGACCCTGTGCAGGGTCTAGCACCCATATTTCAAGAACCTGAAGCTCTTCTTTGAGTGTGTTAGAGGCTTCTTCCCTTGACCAAACCTGACTACCTGTATCCCATGCTTTGGATTTGGGTAGCTTCCATCATATACCTGAACAAGTTGGCGAAAAGGGAAGTAGGATGGGCCTTGGTAGGCAGGCAGCTTTGGCAGAAGAGAAGAAGGCTAAAAAGAGCCAGCCAGAGCCGGGCGTGGTAGCACATGCCTTTAATCCCAGCACCAAGAGGCAGAGGCAGGCAGATCTCTGAGTTTGAGGTCTTCATAGCACATTACAGGCCAGCTGGGGCTACAGGGAGACCCTATCTTAAAGAGACAAAAAAAGAGCCAGCCAAGAGTGGTATCTACCATGGGCTTCTGCTCTGCTCAGCTTATTAAATTCCTGGGACAAGATGAGGCTACCAAGTTGTCCTGATTTTTGAGATTAAATAGTAAAACTACTTTGGCTGGACACTAAAGAGAAAAAGAATACTGTCTGCACAGAGTATGCATTAACTATCAGACTCACCATCATATTTATGATTACCTAGGGTTATACTTTTTTTTAATTGATATTGATTTCCAAAACTTAAAGTTTTATTCCTATTTCCTTGAAATACTCATTCTCTAGTATTTATTTAAAGAGAAAACCTGTCATTTAGGGAAAAATACCTATTCTGATTAATATATTCCAGTTACTAAGTTATGATTACTGCTTAAGTTGTCAAAAGAAATTGATAATTGGGGAATATTTGGGAGATATTTTGTTTACTGAATATCCATGATCCTTCTTGGTAGCACATGGAGACTGCTGGATACAGGTGGTAGGGAAGAAAGCCCTCACGGGAAGTCAGTGTGTTAAGCATGAACCTTCCCTCCAAAAGCCACTGGAACCTGGCTCTCATATATTTAGTATCTTGTCTCACTTTTAGTAGCCCAGAGCAAATGTTATCCAAACAAAAGATAATTTTAGACCACACTCTACTGTGTCATGAATTCCTGTGAACTGCAACATTAATTCTCTGCAGAAAAATGACTGGACCCACCATGCCCAGATGTTTTGTGATGGACTTTTTTTCTGTAGAACATCTTCCTGATGGATGTCTTATGTGTGTGGATTAAACCGTCTGAGACTGAGACCTTGGCTGTCATGGCCATTCTGATGGCCAGGCTCAGTAGAGGCCCCTCTGGACTGCCCCCGACCCAAGAAGACATGAGGTGCCAGCATCTGCAGTGTTGCTGTAGTCGCCGTTTCTTGGTGCTGTACCAGTGCTCTTGATGGCATTTTGTGGAAGTCCTGGGTAGATTTGAGTGCCAGCCACTAGGATAAAGCAGTTCCTTTGAATATTTTTGTGTGTTGCTTCCCTGACTTGTAGGGACAGATGCTTTTGGAAACAGCCTCTGATGGTATGCATAGTTGGAACCTGCTTCATTTTCCTTTCCCCCTTAACTAGAAAAGTTATGCATTTCTAACTAGAGAATATTTTATGTTCAGTTCTGATAGACTCTTTCAGGAGTGTTTAGGGCCCTCCCCCAACCCCCGCCAGAATAGATATGTGATAGCTTTTCTGTATCTGTTATTCTTCACATCAGGCTGGTGTTTCAGCTTTCATTCCCCAGTACTGCTGAACACACTTCTTCCTTATCCCACTGGGCAAATACTGCTACTTGAAATACTTTAAAAGGTGTTCTTTTAACCTGCCTGTGCACATTTATTTTTCAACTTTGGAAAGGGAATGGTTTATTTAGAAGAAAGAAAATTGCAAGAGAACAAAAACTAAAATCCTTTTGTAAATGTAGAAGCAATGAACATATTGTAGTTTTTCCTTCCCCGTTGGTGACAGGTATATTTCTTAATGCAGATATGAAAAACAGTAGCTCCGTGTCGAATTCATTGACAAATGGAAGTGTCATCAATGGACATGTGGACTTCCCCTGCGTGACCCCGCTCAATGGGACGGAGAGCAGGACTGACCCATGCTTAACAGGATCTAATGGAATTAGCAATGGATTAGTTCCAGGAAGGCCATTTCCGAGTGGCCAGGGTTCTGTTTGTGTTAATGGGACTGAGGAGCCAGAAAAGACTATGGGCATTAACCCGGAGATGTGTGGGTCTCTACATTTGAATGGGAGCCCGAGTAGCTGTGTGGCCAGCAGGCCATCCTGGGTGGAGGACATGGGGGAGAACTTGCACTACGGACACTACCATGGCTTTGGGGACACTGCTGAGAGCATCCCTGAGCTGAGCAGTGTGCTCGAGCACTCCAGCTGTGTGCGGGTAGAGCAGCGCTACGATAGCGCTGTCTTGGGTACCATGCAACTGCACCACGGCTCCTGAGCTGAAGGGCCTGAGTCTGAGCTCTACTGCAGCACTGGCTTAGAGAAGTTGCACAACCTGTGCTGCTTATACTTCAGCTTTCCAAATAAGTACTTAGATCTATTCACAGAGTACAGAGTTCCAGTGAGTGCTTGCTGGTATATGCAAAGAGGTTTCTACAAGGATGGCAGTTCTTCTATAAGATGCACTTTTCTGACACCTGCGTCTTTTTTTTTTTCTTTTGTCACCAGTTATGCCATCTTTCTTTTTGTGAATCTTTTTGATCAGGATGAATTGGGGTGGTAAATGAGGTGCCTGGTGACAAGTGGGCATCATTCAGAAGCTCGCTTTTTGTCTGCTTTAGGTTTTTGTGACAACACAGCTACTTCCTATGCAAGGTACAGCCTTACGATGATTTCTTGCAGCGCTATCTGTAGACAGAAAACTCCTTTTCAGTGTCTTCAATGAAACTTGCCGTTTGGCAAGATAGTAGTTGTAGATGTTCCCAGTGGTTTAGGGTACAAACAAGCCCCCCTGTTAGATGTGTAGACCACTGCCCTGTTTCATTAGAAACAGGTTCTGCCTAGGATGAATTCAGATTTGTTGTGTTTTTACTCCACATTTCTACTTCGGCTCTAGAATTTTTAATCACAGATAATGGTTTCCTTTATATAGAAGTTGCTATTTGTAGGAACTGTCAGGTCAAAGTATTTAACTGACAACAGTGGCCTATTTTTTTTGTTGTTGTTATTACTGGTTTTTGAGGTTTTCGCTTTAAAATATATACCATTTTATATATATATACACACACACACACATATGTGTGTGTGTATCCAATCACCTGGGAGAATTTTGGATTTCTCTTAATGAAACTGCATTAAATGTAATGGTTTTATAGAAATGAGCTTTTGTTTAGATAACTAGTAGTTATACTGTGCAGCTACTGCAATGACTTCTGGTTTTTGTAATAACAATCGATGCAGATAAACTGTCAGATGAAATCAATGTTCCTAAGAGTGTACTGACACTGTTTTTAAACCATTCTTTACAAATTAAATAAAAAAACAGAGCTGATTTGTTTCTGGAATGTACTTTCTCGGAAGGGTGGGGACAGTTAATCAGGAGAGATGAGAAGGGAGAAGAAAGCTGGGCACTGAGTTTGAGTCTCCCAGGTCTGACTAATGAGATTGTTAGTAATACTCTGCTTTTGTGACCTTGTCTTACTGAGTCTGTTGTAGAAGTGTAAGCTGTTTGATGTCAGCAGCATTATTGCCCTGTGGTGTTCATTTTCATAAAATGTAGCAGCCACAATGTTCTAAACATCTTGGGTTTCAGCAAATATTAAAATGAACATCAGCCTTCTAAGAATGCAAATTATAGTTAGGAAATTACATCTGGCATGCCTACAGTAGGCTACTTCTAACAGCCATTAGTGTATATTACAAAGCTTAGACCCACACAGGAGAGCATTAAGATTTGGAATGTCCCTGCCAGTCAAGGTCAGAACCCATGACAGCCCCAGAAACTACTCTCAAGAATGGGCCTAGGATCTGCCTACATCGCTGTGACTTGTTAAACAAGGTGAAGCTTAATTACCATACCTGTGAACTATTCTTAAAGTTGTGTCACAGGGACTTAAGACTGAATTAATGTTTACCAACAAATTCACAAGTGAATCTCTGAAAATATTTTATAAAGATAGAATGTTTGGTTCATCTTGGGAATTGGGAGAATACTGCATAGAATTTGTAGTGGGGCAACATGGACACTCTCCATGGGTGATTGATAGAGCTTGATCATTGAGTCGTTTAGTGGTCTATCTGGAAGTTGTGATGGGAGTGGTTGGGGTGTGCTTTAGAACCAGTACAGTGGGGAGGAGTGAGGACCAAGTGACAGTGAATGATGTAACAACAGCAGGAGCTCTGGTTTGTGTGATTTGGGGAAAACTTGAGTTTAGTTAGGATTGGTCTTGAAGGAAGGAAAAGAATGCTTTAAGAGATTGGCATTTCTACACTGGCCAAGAATGAACTTAGAATTTGCTGTACTTAACTAAAATTTTAAGTTTATACTAAATAGATTTATTAGTTCTTGCCCTTTTTGACCTGAAGACTCTTTTCCATGCGTTTTGAGATAAGGCTTTGCTATGTAGCGCAGGCTAGCCTGGATCTCTTTTTAAGGATCCATCTGCTTCTACCTCCTGAGTGCTGGGATTAAAGGCGTGTGCCACCACATCCCCATGCTTGTATTTCTATATGCTCGCAGCAAACAGTTGCAAAATAAAGGCCAGAAAATAACTAACAAAAGTTGTTCAAGACCTCCACTGACTCTGTAAAACATTAAGACAACATCTGATAGAAGTATATAAAGGCAGTCTGGCCTTCTATGGAGACTTGCTCCAGAAAGGCATGGAATTTTAGTAGCATCTGCAGTTAGTTGTGGATGTTCCGTCATTTCTTAAAACTTATTTGCAGTGTTGGATCAGAATCAGCAGCCTTGTATTCAGGTGATTTTACCACATCCTGCATTTGTTATATGGAAAGTATTGTTTACCTAAGCTCTACAGGTCTCCCAGGCATTAAAACCTAACATTATTTAGTATCAGCACATCAATGTAACTAATTTCATAAAGTCATCTTGGCTCTCCTTTTGCTGGAAAGCTCAAAGTTTATCACTGACACAAACCCAGTTTTCCTAGACATCGTTGGCTCACTTGATTAATTTTTGAAACGTGTCTGCTGAATACCTAAGCTTTAATAGCTGTTGCTTGTCCATCTTTCAAATAATGTATTTCCTGAAAGTGACTTTGCTGAGGTCCAGTGTACAACAGAAATCCCAGTGCATACTTCCTGTTTCATCAAGCACTGTGGACTCGGGATGAAATTTCGCAAGATTAATCATTTTTGCTTGCATCAAGGACATTCTTGAGTGAAATTAGCTTCTCTCCAACTGGGTAGAGCCAGTAAAGAGTAACCAGGACAGTGTGCTGCTAAGGCTTGGAACTCTTTTTAAGGTGTTAGCCATCTTACCTGCCATTTTCCTATAAATACTAATGTTGATGTCAGCACAGGAAGAAGGCACAGCATATCTTGGCAATAGAGTTTTGACCTTGTGGACCCCCCTGAAATCGTCAGGGACCCTCCCCCTCAGTGTAATTCCGTGCAGAGCTCTGGGTTCACTGGACTGACAGTGTTAAATGGGATCCAATTAATGGGCACCTTCTAGGAAATGTAGAATGGGTACTCACTGAAAACTGTAGTTCCATAGATATTTAGTGACAGCAGAAGAAAAAAGAATTGAGACAGAAAACTAAAAACTTAGTTTTTCTGGAAAAGGAATGGGTGATGGGTAAAGGTGACATGTCCTCAAGAGAGTTTTGAGATGGGGAAATAATCACTAGATCTTGGGGACAACCCTGGTTAAAGAGAGTGACAGGTAAGCCACAGGGGAGTGCACTTGGGGCTGGGGCACAGCAGCAAAAGACACTGCATGCTTACGTACCAGGTGTGGGTAAATTGAGGGAAAGCTCGAGGCCGCAAGGGGGCCGGAGCACCTAGCCTTAAGCCCAGTGGGGACAGCTGAGTAACGTGGCTGTTACACACACGGGTTGGAAAAACATACAAGAGCAGAGCACAGTGTTTTGTTGTAGCTGTTTTGGACCTCCAGGTAGTCATATGAGAGTGCCTCAGGATGGAGCTGGGGAAAGTGAGACAAATGAGGTCAGAACGGTCAGTGGGAAGCGCTGGGAAAGATTTGGGTGCTTAAAGATGGGCTTCCTGTTGGATGCCCTGTCATGGTACACCCGCATTACCAGTCTGAAGAAACATCCACACAAGCGAGTGTTTCAGACAGGTATGCTACTCGGTTGTCATATTTTTTTTTGTTACAGTAATATAGAAAGGATGTACAAGTTGCAAGCCTCTCCTTTTGCTTAAATACTGTGTACAGTGGGGAAGATTGGATTGTATTTTAAGCCATGCCAAAACAATTTGAGTAACTGCTTCTTTGGGTATTTCTACGATTTCAGAGGTGGGAGTAAGATCAAGAAATACAGCAGCTGCTGGGCTGCAAATGTGTGGCAGAGCTCCAAAGGCTTGAAGGATCCAGGTTCTGGCAAGAGAGCCAGATGCTGTGTCCCCTGAGCCAGTTGGAAGCCATGGCGATTAAAAGGGGAAACGTGCTCCCAAGGGAGCTGGGCTTGGGTGCGCACACCTTTAATCCTAGCACTAAGGAGGCAGAGGCAGAAGGAGGCAGGCGCGGGGAGCACGCAGGACTGATTCAAAGAATTGAAAGGTAAGACATTCCATTAGTTACTTTTCTGTTGCTGTGATAAAACACCTGATCAACTTATGGAAGAGTTTCTTTTGGTTTAAAGTTCCAGAGTTCATCATTGTGGGGAGGCTTGGCAGCAGGAATAGGAAGCTGAGAGCTCATATCTTAAATCAGACCCAAAACAGAGCAAGCGGGACGTGGAGTGAGGCTCTGAACTCCCAAAGCCTACCCCTGTGACATGCAAGGTGTACCTCCTGAAGATTCCATGACCTCTCAGACAGTTCCACCCCCTGAACAAGTGTTCAAATACTTGAGTCCATGGGGAACATTTCTCATTCAAACTGCTGTAGAAGTATATTAGTTAATCCTCTCAGCACTGACAGAACACATAAGGAAACATAGGCAGTTGATCACATGGCTTTAACCATCTGGAAGCAGTGATAGGACTGGAAGTAAGGTGGGGTTATGAGCCTCAAGACCCACCCCCTCAGTGCCCCATCACTAGGGAGCTCTGCATCCACATTGCCCTCCATGACTTCTGCTGACCCTCGGCATCAAGTCACTGAGAGTGAAACACTCTACGCTCTTGTGTCCATGTCTCTGTGACCTCTGCTGACCCTCAGCATCAGGTCCCTGAAAGAGAGACACTCTTTGTGTCCATTCTTTGGAGTTAGCTCAGTCACATTTGAGTTTGTGAATCCTGGGATTCATAATTTGCACAGCATCCATTATGGACCAGATCTCAAGAAAACTAACAGAAGTTGGAAAAGGACCTGATGACTGTGCACACCTCGTCATACATGTATGTATTGTGGTCCTCATCCTGTGCAGACTGCTTTTCATGAACTCACTGGCCACTAACATTTTATAACTTTTGTTTTCACTAGTGGTGTCCTGGACACTGACTTGCACACTGTGTTTCAGGTAGGGCAAGTCTGAGACATGGCCTGATTGTTCTAGCCTGCATGCTCAGGTCCATTTTGTTGGCATAGCTTATACACAGTTTTCATATATTTGTGCTTCTTCTTGAGTTCACTTTAAAATGGCCACAGATTTAGTGCTAAAGTGCCATCCAGCATCCTAAGCAGAAGAAGTGCTTCGCCTCACAGGGAAAATACGCCTGTCAGATGAGCTTAATCCAGGCTTTTATAGCAGTTGGTTATGAGTTCAAAGTGAAGGAGTCAACAACATAACACAGCAGGCCTCTGTTGGCAAGTAAGTGATCATGTGACCAGAAGCTCAGGAACACAGCTTCATGGTGCCCCCAGGAGCAGCCGTTCAGTATTGACTAACTCCACATTCCAAGCAACATCAAACATGACCACCACAAGCCTTCAGGATCAGTGGAGTTGCCATGTGAGGGAGCAGGGTGAATGCTGGGCAGCTCCTGAGCAGTTAGAGGGATTTAGACCAAACACAGATGAAACAGCTTCACTGGCACGGTAGGTATGACAGTCTAACTCTGTCTTGTTTCCAACCCAAGGTCTTTGCATAGGAGTCTTAAAAAAATATTTATTGTATGTGTGTGTTTACCTGCATGTATGTAAATGTATCAGGTGCATGCAGGACTCATGGATGTCAGAAGAGGGTGGCGGATACCCTGGAACTAGAGTTACAGATGGTGTTAGCCACCATGTGGGTGCTGGGAATTGAACCTGGGTCCTCTGGAAGAGCCATTAAGTGGCTCTTAACCACTGACCTATCTCTCCAGCACCCCCCTCCCATGGGACTCAACAGGATATAGTTGAAGACATGCATTCCCTAGACCCAGCAATCCCCATTCTAGAACTCAGAAGAAATGTCCA